AATGAGTCATGGTGGAGTTTTGCTTCGATTTTTTTTCTTTTTTTAACAGCGATGTAATTAAAATTCTTGAGGATGAAGGAGGAATGCGGCAAAATTGCAATGGGCCACAAAAAAATAGCCTGGCCTACAGTCGGTCATCTTATAATCCATAACCACGGAAGTAGAACTGGATGCCTAAGTTTGTCAGAGGAATGGCACTGTTGCGCTCTTTTTTTGCCATAGGTAGACGAATATAACTGAAATTACGTAATTTCACTCAGTTTATTATGATGATTTTTATCACCTCCCTCTCTTTCGCCTCTCCCTCCCATTCCCGCCCCATCGCCTTACCCCGCCTCTCCCGTTGTTCCGTCAAATATTTGCACCTTAAAGATTGGCAGTAAGTTAAGCAATAGTTCCACATCATGCCAGTGTCTCGACATAAAATGTAAACTCGAGATCAAGTGGTGCTAGTGTTGCGCCAGATCTTTTACATCCCCTTCTGTTGGTGTTTAGTACATATAGTAAGATGTTTTTTTTTTTCACAGTAAGATGTTTTTTCGATGATATTTTCGAAAACAGTGTGTTCTTCTGTCGCCTTCTTGCTCTAAACACTTCGACAGTCGTGATCTTTCATGCTACTGCAGTTGAGGAAACCTAATGTGCTGCTTTTTGCAGCTGAGGAAAAGATTCACGCTGTTCTTCCTTTTCCTCTTTTAATCCTTTCCGCAACTGCTTGCGAATCCATCACCGAATCTTTTCCGTCCGGGTTTATGAGTTTTTTTTTTTTTTTCTTTTCCTACTTTTTTCATCATTACGCAATTTTCGTTTCAACATGGTGGTTAGGGGGCTGTACTGATGATTTCCACCCCTAACCACGCATCCTGCTTTCTGTGTTTACAGCTTGGGGATGAAACACAAGCAGGCTTTTTTACATACTGCTCTTTACATGACTTTTTTTAAATGCCATCCTGTTTTTTAAGAAATTCGCATCACAACAATCTACCTTTTTTATTTTCCTTCTCTCATTGCCACCTCGGACTTTGGGCGGTCACCGTCCCACCCCTGTATATTCCTATTTCGTGTGTGGTTGGTGCGGCCTTTGTCGCCTAATACCCTTCGCTGATTGGGCCGCTGTTCCTGCCCCTTCTTTTTGTTTTCTTCACAGGGCCTTTTAGGCCCCTACCCCCTTTTGTTTTTATGAACTGGAACAGCTCTTCTAGTCCATCATTTGGTGTTTGATCTGTGCAGCTTATAACTTTTCCACTCCCTTAGTCGCTTTGGTCAGTGTCACATCCCTGACTGTCCGCTTGCTGACGACTTTGGCGTCCATTTCTTGTGAAGGGATTATCAGTTCAATAGTTTTTCGCAACGGAAGCACTTGGCAAGACCTTAGCCATTTTGAGATGTATGTTGGACACACCATCTCTTCCCTAATGTTTTGAATTGATAAGTGACAATAAGGTGCCTTACTAACTGTAGGTTAGTTGTCACGAAGTTTGAGTCGTCTGTGGTTATCATCGAAATGTCTTTAAATCTCATCTCTGCGCATATTTCAGGTGATATTTTTGATTGGCAATAAGAGTGATCTGGATGGTCAGCGAGATGTTACATATGAAGAAGCAAAAGCATTTGCTGACGAAAATGGCCTGACTTTTCTGGAATGTTCCGCGAAAACGTATGTTCATTTTTTTTTTGTATGTGCCGTTCAATCTTATCTCGTCCTGTGCTTTTGCCTTTTTCCCCCAGCCGCTTGATCTAATTTGAGCAAATTTGAACGTTTCATATTGCAATGCACAACTTATCTTTAGAATCTTTCTTAAATTTTATACATCGCCGGGTTTTGCTTCCAGACACTATGCACCGGTTTTGTGTTTTAGTTCAGTGCATGTCGTGTGAGTGCTGTTGGTTTCTTGAAATAACGGTCCTTTTTCGAGTTATAATTTAGATATTACGCACCTCATTGAACTTTTTAAGTCTATCTCCCCTC